TCAAATATCACATTGATCTTGAAGACCCGCTCTGATACCAATTGTAGTGACAAAGAATATGGTTTGGCATGCGGAATTAAAGTTTGCACAATTGAACATGGTGATTTGGGTGCTAAAAGATATATTCGATCATAGTAAATGAGTACAAAAAGGGATCTAGTCTAGAACTTCATAAATATCTCACTCACTAATCACAATGAACTACATCTCTCAAGCACACCTCTACAAGTGGACAAACCCACCTTATATAGAGGTGTTTACATGTCTCTCTCTCACTCTCTATCTCACATGAGTTTAAAGGCTAATGCACCACATGCAAGTGGGTTTTACAAAAATCAAAGAATACAAAGTCATTCAAGAATAACTTTGCACCCCAACAGATTATACAAGGATGAGTTGGGTTTATTTCTTGGAAAACAAAGGAGAAACCTTCTCCAAATTCAAGCTATTCAAGGCCAAAGTAGAAAAGCAAGGTGAATGCAACATCAAAACACTAAGAACAGACAATGGAGGAGAGTTTACATCAAAGGAATTTACTTTGTTCTGTGAAGAAAATGGAGTACATAGAGAGCTCACGACAGCCTACACACCGGAGCAAAACGGAGTCGCAGAACGTAAAAATAGAACTGTGCAAGAGATGGCACATAGCATGTTGAAAGAGAAAGAGTTGCCAAATAAATTTTGGGCTGAGGCTGTTGCAACCTCAGTATATTTGCTAAATCTATCCCCAACTAAAGCAGTGATGAACATGACTCCATTCGAGGCTTGGACTGGAATTAAGCCATCGGTAAGACACTTACGTGTTTTTGGTTCAATCGCATATGCTTTGATCCCATCTCAGGTACGAAGGAAATGGGATGACAAATCCACCAAATGCATCTTTGTTGGTTATTCAATACAGTCCAAGGCATACAAGTTATATGATCCACAACAAGAGAAAATAATTACAAGAAGGGATGTGGTTGTAAATGAAAAAGAGAAATGGTGTTGGAAAGATGAAAGTCAAGCCCACGTGGAAAGCACTATACCAATAAAAGTAACCTCCGACAACGGCTCTATGGAACAATAAAATCAGTCAACAATCATTTCAACACCCAGCACACCATCAACATCAAGTGTGCAACCAAACTCGAACTCGGAAACAGATTCATCAGCAGAGCGCACTGGTCCACGAGGCTACAGATCCTTAGCGGATGTGTATGCTTCATGTCAATATGCTCTTGTTGCCACAGACCCACTCATGTATACTGATGCAGCAAGAAAACAAGAATGGCAGCAAGCCATGGAAGAAGAGATATCTTCAATTAACAAGAATGGAACATGGCAGTTGGAAGATCTACCAGATGGAAAGAAAGCTCTTGGCCTAAAGTGGGTTTTCAAAACGAAGTATGGTGCAGATGGTAAGGTGGTTAAGCATAAAGCAAGGCTTGTTGTAAAGGGATACGAACAACAACAAGGTGTGGATTTTGAAGAAACTTTCACACCTGTGGCAAGATTTGAAACGGTCCGAGTGATTCTTGCATTAGCAGCTCAAAAGCAATGGATGGTGTATCAGTTTGATGTGAAGTCAGTGTTCCTTAATGGAGAACTTTTGGAGGAAGTATACGTTGATCAACCAGAAGGTTTCATTGCCAAGGGTGAAGAAAAGAAAGTGTACAAGCTGCATAAAGCTCTTTATGGCCTTAAACAGGCGCCACGTGCGTGGTATAGCAGACTAGATAGCCATCTTAAGAGAAAGGGGTTTGATCGAAGTGAAACTGAACCAACCTTGTACACAAAAACAAAAACAGGTGTTGCACTTGACTTTCTTATTGTGTGTGTATATGTAGATGATATCATCTATACTAGCTCCTCTAGTGCAATGATTGAAGAATTCAGGGTCCAGATGAAAGAGGAGTTTGAAATGAGCGACATGGGTCTTTTGCACTACTTTCTGGGACTAGAAGTACATCAAACCAGAGACGCAATCTTTATTAGTCAAGCAAAATATGCAAAAGAGCTTCTGGTAAGAATGGGAATGAAAAACTGCAGCACGGTAGAAACTCCAATGAATTTTAATGAGAAGCTAAGTCTGGAGGATGGAGAAGAAAAAGTTGACCCAACAAGGTTCAGAAGTATGGTTGGTGGACTGATATATCTGACCCATACAAGACCTGACATCGCATTTGCGGTTGGAATGATATCAAGGTTTATGCATCAACCATCCACAATCCATTTTGGAGCTGCAAAAAGAATTCTAAGATATGTGGCTGGAACAACAGAATACGGATTGTGGTACACGCAAGTGGAAAGAGCTGGGCTAGTAGGTTTCTCAGACAGTGATTGGGCTAGCTGTGTGGATGATAGAAAGAGTATATCAGCAAGTGTGTTCATGTTTGGCACAACTGCCATCACCTGGAGCTCCAAGAAGCAGAGCATCATTGCACTCTCAAGTACAGAGGCTGAGTATGTAGCAGTAACTTCTGCAGCATGTCAAGCAGTATGGATCAGATCACTTTTGAGGGAACTACATGAAGTACAACACCAAGCAACCGATGTCTTATGTGATAATCAATCTGCAATTTTCATGGCTAAGAACCCAGCTTTACATAGCAGAACCAAGCATATTGACACTCGCTTTCATTTCATTCGCAAGCTAATAACAGATGGTGAAATTTGTGTTAAGTATTGTAGCACTCATGAACAGCCAGCCGATCTTCTAACAAAGGCTCTGCCTACTGCAAAGTTCATGTACTTCAGGAACAAGTTAGGAGTATGCAAATTTGAATCAAGGGGGAGTGTTAGAAGTTGATTCAAAATTTGAATGAGTGTGATACTGACCTGGTCTAAGGCAGTAATTTTAGGAGTCATTTAGTTCTTGAATAAGTTCCCGTTTTTTTGCTCTAGTTGTTATGCCTATTCAAGGGTATAAATAGGAAGCTTTGTTTTATGTATTGCATATCAACGCAGATCAATAAAATCACACTCTTTTTCTGCATACGTATTCCAACAGGGTCTTAACAGGGGCGACAATGAATCTTAACAGAGAGGAAGCATGGGCGATGATGGATCTTAACAGAGGCGGCATTAGATCTTAGAAATGATAAAGAAGAAAGATATGGTTGCGCTGATGTTAGATTTTATGGAAAATGATGGTGGTGTGTGGCATTCTTCAGATTTATGGTGTTCACCAAAGTATTGTTTGTCGGAGCTGAGAGAGGAGAGGAGGAGGCGACCCAGTGGTGTGTGGCATTCTTCGGATTTCTGACCGACGGTCCAGCAGTTCCGGCCGCATTTAGGTGGTCGGCTATGGTTCTGTTCACGTGATCAAGTGATGGGAGGTAGAAAGAAAGGGTTTAAGAGCTGAAGAGGTGGGATGAAGTATGACCTCTTTTATTTTCTATTTTTTTTAATTATTACGTAATAGATAAATAATAAAAAATTGAAAATTAAAATATATAGGCCAATATAGTCTTTTTCATGTATGTAAGGATGAAAAAGGAAACAAAACCATACCACATGGATGGCCCGAATGCAAAAGAAAAGATAGAGACCAAACGTGAAATTTTGGAAAACCACATCCTAAGCTCAGTTGATTGTTGAAGCAGTAGCTCTGGATCGAGAGCAGGATGCTTACCGTGGGTATTCTGAAAAGGGGAAAGGCTTTTTTTATAGAGAGAGGTATAGGAGAATGGAAGACCAAAGAGACAGCCAGGCCAGATAAGAATGTGCCCTCTCCTTGTTTCCATGATAGTCTAGATCCGGTTTAGCGCTTGATAGTTACATTTTTTTTGTTGGCATCCGATCACGTCGACACGCTGGGCTGAGTGAAAAAAGATATTCTGAGAAAGTAGGTTTAATACAATAATATCGTAGTATAAAGAGTGATGCATCAACAGGTCAAGGATGAGTAATTTGTTGTTGTTTTTTTTAACTGTTGTATTAAAAGAAAAATAAAAACAAAATAAAAAGGGTAACTTCATCAATTTAGGTATTTTCAAAACAAATTGGACAAAACTCGCAACAAAAAACTTATTTTGGATCAGTGTTGCAACTCCCAAACTTTTTGGACTAGAGTCTTAATTTTTGATATACCACAAAGACAATTTTTTGTAATTTTGCCATTTTAATATAAAAAGTTTTATGCAAAGAAAAACTCTAAATTTAAATTTAATAACATATGTTTAAAGATATTACAAAACATAAAAACATTTATAGATTGCATAAATATTATAAACAATTTTTCTACGCAAATTTATATACATGGAAAATCAAGGAAAAAATTATCAAAAATGTTATTTGAAGTAAAAATTTAAAAATCAAGGAGAAAAAAATTATATACAATGTCAAATCAGATAAACGAAGAAGGAAAATTATAATTCTAATCAAGTAATTACTAATAAGTTGGGTTACTTTGATCAAAATTTAGGCATTATAAATTTTATAAATTTATAATACCTAAAATTATATATTTATCGGAGTCAGGTCCAATGTTGGGGAATAAAGGTAACCCAATCCCCATCCTCATCCGTGTTTTTTTATTGATTCCTTATCCCCAGTCAATTTGAGGATTCCTCGGGCAAAGCCGAATAAGGGTTTCAGGTTCCTAACGGTATGAGAATTTTTTCCATCCTTTCTAAAAAATACAATCGAAATAGTTTTTTTTTTTTTTTTCCAAAAAAGTAACCATTTTTCAAATGGAGTCCATTTTGATATTATAGTGATTATCCATAACTTATAACATTGAAGTTAATAATTTTGTTAACACAGTTTTGAACAAACATGGTTTAAAAGTGATCAAAACCTCCGACTTTGGAGAGATGATCGGCGCCTTTAAATTCTTGCAAGCCCTTGTTGATTAGTGCATGTAAGTCAAAGAACCGAGGAGCTAGCAAATACTCATATAGAAGATGTATCAAATCATATTTCTTTTTTGTTCGAAAGCAATGTCGGTAGAGAGAAAAGACAAAAATGGATGCAACCAGTTTATATATTCAATTAAATAGTTTTAAATTTATCGTACATGTTGAAATAATACGGCATAGAAGTGATCCAAGAGTCCACACTAAAAGTAATATGAAAGTTTTTTAACATGGAATAAGCATATGCGCGCAGATTGTCAGTGTTGACATTTGAGCGACTCAACTTGTGATTTCCCATGAAGACCATTTAACCTGATGAAAGTACGATACTCATTAAAAGTCATGGGATGGTACAAGGCAGGTTCATCGCCTGTTACTAGCTGCTTGGCTGGCTGAATAGGAACATCTCCCCTCGGGTTGTAGAAGAAGGCTAATGAGACTCGCTCTTCATTTGAATTAACAATCACACGATGCTCTACACTCTTGTACTTAGCATTGCTTAGAACCTTTAATTTCTCAACCAAAATACAAACAAATAAAGATCATATATAAAAAATGTATGTGAGTTCATATACAGATATAGAGCAATACCTGAAGTTGATCCGCAAGGTTTACAATGAAAGCATTAGGGATTGGCTTAACTGTGACCCAAGCATCATCTTTACGGACTTGTAGGCCATAAACATGATCATCAGGCAGCAAAATGATGATACCACCTGGATCAGAATGTGGTGAGATTCCCAAAGTCAAATCCGGCTGAGGGCATTTTGGGTAAAAATTAACTCTCAGTGAAGCCGAGATTTCATCCCCTCCAAATGCGTTTTGAAGATAATCCTCTTCTAATCCAAGGTTCAGAGAGAAAACTTTCATCAATTGTCGACATAGTTTCACGACTTCATCATTGTACTCGGCCACCATTTTCCTACACATCAATTTAAAGATTATGTCATTCGTTGATGGTACCAGATAAAGTTTTGACCATATGCATTGAAAAACATGCACCATTTAAGTTAAAACACCATCTACGTAGTAGCTTCACCCATGGACCACTAAAATGGTGGCTTTTCAAACCAAGAAATTAAACAAGTGTATTATTTTGTATTGAACGACCATTATCAATCAAAGATCAGATCTTCATTATTTATGACATTATTGAAATTGTGTGTACATTAAATGACCCCATTCAACTAAGTTGACATATTCTTATTGGGAAGATCAAAGTAAAAAGCATTACGAAATTTGGGTGCAAACATTTTTAGGATAGATCGGAAATATCTCTTGTTTTTATTATAAGACCGCTACTGGTTTTGAATAATATAAATATATGCTTCATCACAATTTCTTTACAATATATTACGTAAAACTTTTTTAGATGTACTAAATTAAAAGTCACATTATGAAGAGCAAAAATATCGTATAAAAAGTATGACTTTAGCCATTCAAAATATGATAGTACTGATAGCATACAGAAATAAGAAATAGAGATGGATTGCTTCTCATAAGTAATATAATAACTTGATAAATGTTAGTATATAAAAAGACATTTTTAGGTGATAAACTGATAACTGATACAAATAAATGATATAACATTTAATCTTTATTGATAATTTCAATCATATTTAATAATAAGTTAATTATTTCTTTAAAAATAATTAAAAGTCAATATTGGTGGGTTAAACTCATAGTTGTTAAGATCCGATTTTGATATTAAATCTTACAATTTTAAGATTCTACAAACAAAAAACGATCCAGATATCAATAGGATCTAACTGAAACAAGATCTATAGTGGGATCTTAAGATTCCGACTAGGATCTTAAGATCTTAACACGATCTAATTTCACTTCTTTAGTTTTATTATATAGTCGAGCTTCAAAAATTCTTCCATTTAACTTAAAATCAAGCATTGTAAGTTGCAAATCCTCATAGATCATCATCAATTCATCATTTCATCTCACATTAGGTAGTTACACTCATGATATTTCATTTGTGATCTTAAGGCTTTAGTTGTAAATCATAATGATCTTGTTTCTTTTTGTAATTAACATGTTTTCTTTCAAATTTTTATGGTTTACAATAACAAAAATCATGCTTCATGTTAAAAAGTTAATGTTCACTTTTAATCGACATCAAATTATAATATATAGTGTACACCCAAGAGCTTACGAGCAAACTTTAATATAAGTTCATTCTGGTAGGATCTTCCGATCTCGACTCGATCTTGCAAAATAGAAAACGATATTGGATAAGATCCCCATCTCGACAACCTTAGTTAAGCCAATCCTTTTATGTTTCATAAAAATTTGCATTCATTTCCCTCTATAATTTTGGGCAAATCTGGACATATGCTATAACCCAAACACCAAAAATCTCATTTTTAGTCCATTATAATTCAAAAATGATTATTTGTTGTGTCAAAGTAGTGTAAAAGAATAATAAAAATTGATATTAATTAATCTTTAAAGTCATTTTGACGTTGAACTTCATTTGTAAAGTTTAGTCCTTCAAACTTGAGTTTATGTATATCTAGTTAATTGAATTATATAAGTACATTTTACATATAATATTTGTTACTTGTAATATTATGCTAGCTGTATTAATTAATTATATTTTTAGAATAACCAATGAATATTATTAAACCTAAATTAGTAAGAAACTAGCAGAAAAAATAATTATATCATGTTTAATAAAAACAAATTAAGATATTACAACAAAAAGTATTATAGACAAATTTGTACAAAATTAATAAACATAAGGGGTATTTTTGAAAATTTATATAAATCAGAAAAATAAAAAGAATATATTTAGAATATTATTTTATTGTAAAAAATGGTGCAAGAATTTGGATGTGCAAAAATAGTAAAGAGCAGATAAGTATTTTTGATTATTTTATTAATTGAAGTAAATAATTTGTTTTAACTAAAAAATCAAACTTTCAAAACATTCTATATAAGGAAACAAGCTTTACATTTTTCATTTAAGGTAAACCAAACTAGGGGTGAGCATGGTGCGGTTCGGTGCGGTTTTTGGCTAAAACCGAACCGAAAATCGCAACTTCGGTTTTTTGAAATTTAGAAACCGCACGTTCGGTTTTTATGCGGTTCGGTTTTTGCGGTTTTTATTGCGGTTTTTTACGGTTCGGTTTTTTTGCGGTTTTTTGTTAGTTTTTTTTTTTTTTTTTTTTTTGCCTTTTTACTAAAACTCAAGTAACTCAGAGAGTTACATTGACTCAAATGAGGAGTGCTAAACATTTTTTGGAAATAAATTGATACCACCACCTCTTAGTTTGAAATCAAATTACATAACCACTCATCCAACATGTTTCTAATGCTTGAATATAATACAAATTTAATATAATATTTGTTTCACAGGTACATGAGATAATATCAATTAATGTATTCATAAAAATGATACTATCACTAGTACTCTTCATATTTAAATGTTAAAAAATGCAATAAACATTATTTGTTATTGTAATTACCACTAAATGTATGCTTAAAAATATACAATCATCATCCGATAGATAATATATATATTTATATTTATAGAAATTTTAATTGTCATAAGTTCTTGGTTTTTACAAATATCAGCACTTAATATATATATATATATATATATATATATATATATATATATATATATATATATATATATATGCAGTGCGGTTCGGTTTTTTGCGGTTTTTGCGAGATTAGAAACCGCACCGCACCGAGTATTTTCGGTTTTTGCAAAACTAAAAACCGCACCATCGGTTTTCATTTCGGTTTCGGTTTTTCGGTTTCGGTTTATACGGTTTTTTCGGTTTTTTTGGTTTGCGGTTTGGGTTTTGCTCACCCCTAAACCAAACTGTAATTTTCTTTTTCTATTTTGGTTGATGGTTTTGGTGAAAAAAGTTATATCAAACTCAATATAAAAAAATTATCTTATCCACTAATTATCGGATTATCGGTTACCCAAAATCGGAAAGCAAATAAAATCTGTTTACCTTAAATAGGTATTCTTAAGACCCGTTGTCTTAAAACAAGAAAATAAATTAATAAATATATCTAATTCGATAACATTTTTTCGTCCAGTTAACCCTATAGCTTTTAGCCTAAAAATAAGACAAGAGAAGAAAGATAGATAAACATATAAGTTAAAATGAGACTACTGTGAATGACAATACTTAATTAGAGCACTATCTATAAGCTAGGTGATGCTTAGACATGACTGAGAACATTCTAACTAGCATTATTTGGATCAAACACATATTCTTTTTCCATTAAACCAATAAAAGATTTAGAATGATATAACTTTAATTCAGGACCTTATTATAAATCTTTAAATATATAAGTTTGGACTTATATAGTTATATATAGAGTAAAAAAAACATGTAACATGTGGAGGCCTGCTCCATACGTTAATACCAGAAAAGAGACAGAACATGCAAAATTATAGAACACTCGTTTTAATGATCTAACCTGCAAGATGCTGGCTGAGCTGGCCACCTACGTTCATTTCTAACTGAAGTTGGGTGGCAGTGAAGGAAGAAGTAATCACTCCAATCCAATTTCGCACCTTTCTCCACCCCAAGACGGCTGCCGTAGCCCTCGTAGGTGGCCGGAGAGTTGGCATACTCCTGTTTCACGTCTAAAGGTAGATGGAAGAACTCCCGCCAGATATTCCTTGTTGCCGCCATCAGATGGTGGCTGACACCATGGTTGATGACCTGGAAGAAACCCCACTGGCGGCAAGCGTCTGAGATGAGATTCAATGTTGTTTGGCGTAAGGTAGGGTTACTGGTGTCAATGTTAGCGAGATCAATAACAGGAATGTTGGCTTCTGTTGACCGGAGGTCATGGGCGTAGGGCCGATCGTATATTGGTTTAACGTAGCACTCAGGAATAGAGTTTATTCCGCTGTCTGAGACTGATTGAACTCGCACAACAGGTTCGGGCCAGCTTTGCAAGATGCTTACCATATCTGTATAATGGCTATGGGTTCTCGATCTTACCGCCGTGAAAACAGAAAAAGATGGTCCTCCTCTACAAAAACAATGACTTCAATCGAATCTATATATAGAAATTAGAGAACGTTGACGCCACAAATTAAATGCTCTCTCTCTCTCTCTCTCTCTCTCTCTCTCCTCTCTCCTCGCTCTCTCTCCTCTCTCTCTCTCTCTCTCTCTCTCTCCTCTCTATCTCTCTCTCCTCTCTCGCGCTCTCTCTCTCTCCCTCTCTCTCTCTCTCTCTCCTCTCTATATATATATATTATATATATATATATATATGTTCAGGTTCATTTTAGACCATACTAATTTTGTGAAACGCAATATAAAAATAATTTTAAAATGCAAAATAAAAGAAAAAATTCGAAATTTCTTTTTTTTTTAATTATTATTTTCGTCATTTTATTTACCTAAAAAACAAAAATAAATAAATAAAATTTACCGTTTTTTTAAATAAGCGAAATATTTTAATAAAATATTACACTGTAGATATTTTAATGTGATTTTTAGAATATATTATAATATTCTACTATTCTACTAGATTTGTCATATATGTAAAATATTCTAATATTCTACTACAATATGTAAAAAAATGGTAATTTTTTTATTATTTTTTTATGTTTTGGAAAATATAAATGACGAATAATATTTAAAAAAATTCGAAAATTTTCAATTATTTTACATTTTAAAAATATTTTTTATCTATAAAATGAATGGTTGGGATTACGTCTTACGATCTCACAAAATTAGGCCGTCTCACATAAACCTATATATATATTATATATATATATATATATAGATTATATATATATATATATATATATATATAATAATATATATGGAGGAGGAACATAATATTCATATATAAATATAAATGTAAGTATATATTCTAACATATTTCTAATCCGCTTAACCGCTCCACGTGTCGGGACAACGGAACAAATAATATTCATATATAAATAATCATTTGAGAATATGAATATACTTATACGTATATGAATATATTTTCTTAATGAATATACTTATTTAAATATGAATATTAAATTCTTTCGTCGTGCTGGTGCGTTGGATGGTTTTGTGGTAAAAAGAAATATGTGGCCCAATGGTGGTTGCATTAGCTGCGGTGGTGGTGGTTTATATTCACGTATGAATATTAAGTTCCTCCATCACGCCGGTATACGGGAGGGTTTTGGAAAAAAAATATGTAGCCCAAATTCGTTTTTGCATTCTCAATTATATAATTGTTCTTATTTGAATCTAAGTCTCTCTCTCTCCTCTCTCACGTCTCTCTCTCTCTCCTCGCTCTATATCTATATATATATATATATATTATATATAGATATTATATATATATATATATATATATATATATGGCTCTTTATTATGCAAATTTTGGTCAAATGTTGAATTTTAAAAGATACATGACCAAATGCAATGTGTACAACCATTTAAAGCATTACATCATCTATGGTGAACCATTGAATCCATCAAAGGTAATACAAATAGTTTTTGAATGTTTTGACTTCAAGGATAAGATTTATTATGTGTATCTTTTCGAAATTCAATAATCATGAATAATAGATCTTTATCTATCTTTATTTCAGCACCTTCGCATAGATATATTATATATATATATATAATATAATATAATAAACAACACCACTAATGAGAGTTAGAATAATATATTATATATTATATATATATATTATATATATATATATATATTCTAACTCTCATTAGTGGTGTTGTTTTTTTTCTTTGGTGTTTACAGATACCTCTTAATCTATATGCAACACAACCATCAATAACCTAGGAAAAAATATATTCAGGTAATGAAATCGTGCTTGTGTGTGTGTGTGTGTTTTTGTGTTTACATGTACCATTTTAACTTCATATTGAATGGTGTTTTTGTATGTTTTTTGTTGTTGACATGTACCAAAGCAGTCAACAACATCTAAAAAACAAAAAGATATAATTACTATTCTCTTTAATGGTGTGTGTGTGTGTGTGTGTGTTTTGTGTTTACATGTACCGAACCATTAAACCACCAAATCAGCCAGCAACAATCAACCAGTGATCTTCTTTTCCTATACAAAAAAAATCAGGCACAAAGTCTCTCTCTCTCTCTCTCTCTCTCTCTCGCACGCTTAATACCTGAAATTATCACAACTATGTTTATTCTTTATTAATTTTCTTAATACCCATCTCCAGTTTGTTTTCCTGCGTAAAAAAATACAACTCAGGTAAGTTCTTAATACCCAAAACCTCTTCTTGATTGAAGGCTTAAAAAGACAAGTGAAAAATGTTAATAATAATTTCATAAGAATGTGATTAGGTATTAGGGAATGTGAGATAGATACGTTAAATTGTTTTTTGCTACATGAAAGGTATAATAAATTCAACTTCATGCATCACACCATCAAATGCACGTTGCTCATCCTCATTCTTCATATTTGCTCATCCTCATTCACCTTCACACTTAGAAAATATTACGGAAACAAACATATGATGCCACTAACAAAAGAAATCAAAGATAGTGTTTGATATGATGGTTCCTTCCATTTGAATGGAAACAAACAAGGAAAAATAACAAATTCATATTTAAATAATTTAACGACACATCCTTTTTAGAAATTTCATACATAGGGAATATATTTTAAAATATTTGATGTTTACTTGGAAATGGATGTAGAAGTTGTTGTCGATGTCATTGTGTGTGATATATGTGGAGATGTAGGGTATGAGCATTTACTTACTACATGTAGTAGATTCATGGATGGCGCTGTACACACTTATTGCACGAAGAAAATGCCAAATAAAGTTCTCAAACATGGTTGGTTATGTGAAGAGTGCAAAAATGGCGAGGGCTATGATCTTCCAAATCATAGTGAAATGGTTCAAGTGCAACCTTTCAACAAACACGCCAATAAATTATCAACTTCAAATAAAAATAAAGAAGAAGAATGTACTACCAAAATTCCATCTGTACACCTATTACAAAGAAATCATTCATGTAAATGAGGAAGCGGATAAAGATCAAAATTAGTGGACAACGTATGGTCGTTATATGATTGTCGACAAAAATGGACTTCTCTTGGGTAAACACAGAAAATTGGATGAAGACCAATACATGAACATAACGTAAACATAGATTCATTTAGTTCCAATATAACATCCTACTTTTGTTTATTTATTTATTTGTAAATGATTTTATGGTTTATTGTTGGGTTGATAATTATTGAGTTTGAACCTAAATGCAAAACAAATTGGGTAAGTCTAGAGCTATTTGTAATCACAACTAATATATTAAAATGTTGTAATACAATGTTGTACTCTCAAGTTACTAGGGGTTTTTTTGCCAATTTATATTATATCAAGTTAACAAAGTTGTCTAACAAGTCTCAAATATCATAAACTAATTTATTAGCATTTTCATATATGTAATTTTTGTTCAGGAAAAATTACAAAATAACACAATGTACTTGCTCCATTTTACAATTTATCTATTAGAATATTACTATAACCAAATATACTAAAATATTACAAATGCATAAATACAACTTTATTGTTTTTAAAATTTCAACCAATGCATCAAATAGCATCCTACTTTCAAAAATTGAAATAATAAATTGCTCTTTCTTATGGGTACCTTAAAGTAAGCTGTGGTTTCTCGGAATAATTCAATATTTCTATTTGATTTTAAGAGGTACATGGCCAAATGCAATATGTACAACCATTTAAAGCATTGCAGGATCTATGGTCAACCATTGAATCAGTCAAACGTAATACAAATGTTTTTAATGTTTAAACTTCAAAGATAAGATTTATTATGTATATCTATTCCATAAATACTCTCATTATCCTATAACTTTCTACATTATCTATCCTAACTAAATAAATGTTTGATATTACTTTGACATTTATCAATAAATGGTAATTAATAAAGGAAGCCTTAATTACCGAATTTTTGTTAATGTTTTTTATTAATCGGAAATACAGGAAAATCAGTTTACACAATGGAGAATGGCATTTCTGGAAATCTATTTATATAGTTTAGGCGGGAAAATAGGATTGGAGGAGGTGGATCTAATGGCACGTGACAAACCACATTAGGATTAGGATTTAAAATTCAAAATTTAAATGATACCTATTTTATCCCTTAATAACAAACAAACTTTAACAGGAATATCATTATATATACTATTGTCACCAAATTCCAACTCTTTTTTTCAGTCAAATTGAATATTCCAATTATCAAAAAGTATGTTCATCTATTCGTTATTGTTTTGCATTTCATTTTGAAGTTATGTTTACTTATATTAATTAATAATCTTAACTTTCTCGACAGCCATCATGCAGGCCTTTAACAATGATGTGGATACAACAAAACATGAAACCGATGAAAAACAACTTTCTCTCCAATAAAAGAAAAAAACATGATTTGGCACTTAAATCTTGGAAATGGAATGAAGTTATTGATCTTGTAAGTTCTGATACTCAACATCATGATAATCAACATCAGTTGACTGGTGAAGATGTGGATACAACAGATACAACTGAGTCAGTAAAACCGTTCAAAATGGCCCGACACACAATCTAGACCCAAAACAGGTTCTTTAAGCTTCGTCATCTACCGGATGACGAAGATTGCGGGTATGTCATGATGTTTTAATTTGTATTTAAATAGTTATTTCATAATTTTATAAAAGTAATTTAGTTTATATATTATATTTTTAAATTTTAATCACTTTAATGCTAAATTGATTATTTCTAATGTTTTTAAATTGTAGGTGTTTATTAATAATATTTTTAAATTACCTTTTACATAAATTGGTTGGAGTCACTTGTAGATATGAACCATCCAATACAATGTGAAGATGATGCACCACATCAAGTTGAAGTTGATGTTGGTGTGATCCAGCCAAATCAGGTTGAAAATGATGTACGTCATCCAACAGGAGTTGTTGTTGCTTGGCCGGATGAAGAATGAGCCTAGCAAAGAAAGATCGTTAATTTTATTTTTTAATAATTTGAATGACTT